AAATGAGATATGATTTTTTTCTAATATTCTATTGATAATAATGATGATTGTAATCAGCATTGTAAATTTTATGACCTACCTTTCCAATGAAATTTTTTCAGTATTTCAAAACAAATTGATTTTCCCATATCTTACACTCCAGACTCATGGTAAAATAAATGTTATTAGTTAGTTATAATCACAGATGCTTATCATTATACTTGTTTCTCTTCTAAAATACTTCCTTTTTTAAGCATTTTCCATTTTTTTGATGCTGGAGGATCATTTTTCACACTTTTGCAGACGATGGCAAGAAAACTTACTAAATGTGTAATTGATTTTTCCATTAAGGTAGCATGCCAATAAGTACACCCAAGGCTGCAAGGACCATTTGAATCATCAGACACTTTGATGAGGTATTCTAGTCTTCAGAATTTTAAAGATCTTCATTTTTAGATAACAGGTCAGGAAACTACAGCAAGTGGGCCAAATTGGACCCCCTTCCTGGCTTTGTAAATAAAGATTTATAGAAACGCAGCCACACCCATTTCTTTATGCATTTGTCTGTGGCTGCTTTTGAGCTACAACCCGCAGAGGTGAGCAGTTAGGACAGAAACTATATAGCCTACAAAGTCTAAAGTATTTACTACCTTGTTCTTTACAAAAAACACATGCTGACCCCCGATCTCCAAACTAATTCCTAACTGGGTCTCGGGATTCTGTGAAGTTTTTCTCCTAAATTTTCTTTTGTAGATGTTTCATCTCACTGGTGAAATGACACATGTTCAATTGTGTAGAAAGACATGGACTTCATTTTTAATCCTTGTGTATGTATTTTAACATTTACTCTATTTTCTTCATCTGTATATATTACCTTTGCAAAATAAGTTTTATTTCTGAAACCCTTTCCACAAAACAGGTAAGTTAGAGTTGTGATGAGATTTACCCTTTAATCTCATGATTGGATAGATGCTGCAAGCTAGGAGAGTTCTTTTCTAGGCTGCCTTATTAAATGGGTTTCACTTAATATGGCTCCTGAGGGCTTTGAAATCAACATCCCATTGAAACTGAGTGGAAAATAATACAATTAACAACTTGAAGTAGAGCTCTCTAATGATTTGTTTTGGAATTAAATAATAGTGAGAAGAAGGGAATAACTTGAAAATAAAAACATTGGAAATCTATTGTAGTTAGGAGCTCAGACTGTCGAAATCAATTCTTAAGGAATATTTACAAAACCACATAACCTCTATTTATAAATATTGAATAAAGATGTGCTCCATATTTTAAAGCAACTTAGATTTTCACTCACAAGATTCTGTAATACTAATTCCCGAATATGATGATAAGGGACTTTAAGTGTAAAACACATTTCACATTAACATGGGACACAGCATTAATTCCTAAACATTTTCTAAATCCTATCTATACAGTTGAAGTCCTACTTACTCATTTTCAACAGTTGTCAACCTTGCTACATACATTCTACAAAGACATTCCTTAGGTATTAAAAAACAGCTGATATTTACTAAATGTTGACTATACAACAGTCTACTTTTAATCCTTACCCAACCTCCCTTACCTCGTTTTATAGATGAGGAAACCGGCTTAGATAGGAAAAATAACTTGCCTAAGATCACATACCTATTTGGTGCCCAAGCCAAAATTGTAACTCAAGCAGTTTGAGCCCAGAATCTTCATTTGAACCATGTTCCCTCCAAAGTCTTGTGAGTACAAGAAGCTTGAAAGCAACCAAGTAATAATAAACACCAGCACTTGGTATTGAGGGGCATTGAAAAAGGTGTGCTAACTCTTCTGGGTGAGAGGAAAAGGAAATGCTGCTGGGAGGAGCGAAGTCTTGAGTTGAATTGGGTTTACTAATTAGAGACAAGGAAGGTATTCCAGACATATGTAATAACGTGTTCAAAGGCAGACACTCGAAGAGTACACTTTCAGTGAGGTATAATAAGGCACAGGAGATGGGCTGGTGGAGTGTGAAGGGGCCTGCAGTATTGCCATAGCTTACAGGAAGTCAGTGGTTTTCCCATTTCAGTGTGGTGAGGATCACCTGGGGCACCTGTTTACAGTGAAAATTACTGGGCCCAAGTTGTGGGAGAATCTTATCCAGTTAGATCCAGGAATTTGCATTTCATCAGGAACACCAGGTGATTCCCGGTCAGGAGAGCCTCTCTGAGAACACTGGAAATCAACATTCTGGAGTATGACATGGTTAATGTCGTGATGTTTTAGAAAAACGACACAGCAGCTCAGTGGAGAGAGGAAGGTGTTCTCAAAAGTGATTTTTTGCTTATTTAGAATTCAGAAATAATAGAAAGGTAGCTTTTCTTAATGATTTATACAACACACACACACACACACACACACACACACACACACACACACTTTCATTTATAATAGGTTTTCGATGTTATTTAAACTACTGGGTTATGAAATAAAATGCTGAAAAGGCAGGGTTCTGTTGTGTTAATTTTTTAAGGCGCCGTAAGGTACAAAAATATATGAATTTTTCAAACCAAACCTTATTTGTGTTTTGCCATTCTCAATCCTTCCCACCCTAGCAGTTAGTAAGCTGCAGTGTGAATAAATAAATGAATGGATTAGTTAATTGAATTACATATTTTCAGTAGAACCTAATTTCACACACTATAATTGAGATTAATAACTCAAGCAAACTGCGGTGTTTCTGTACTTTTCTCTGGGATTAATGTAATAATTTAAGGGACTAATTACTTAAGATAAAATTGACTCATAAATTTAAGACTTGGTACTGTCTTGTTATAATTTAAGCTAAAAGTTGCTATTTCCCACTGGCTTTGAATACATCTAGAATGGAGTAAGTAAAGACAAACTGCATTTTAAAAATTATCTGTTGCATTTAATAACTTGTCAGATGGCTCCCAAAATATATTCTTTGTAGAAAATCGATATATTCCCGTCTTGCAGAAGAGAATGTCAGTATACTTTTCAATATTTAAGTAAACTTGAAGGGAAGAAAAAGAAAAAAGAGGCAACAGCCATCTAATTCATCTGGAATTGGACTCTAAACGGCAGAATCTCTTTGGGTAACCAGAGATAGCCTTGACCAACTGGGGACTCTCAAACTCAGGATGCCAGATCACACACTGATGTTTATTCCACACTTAAGCTTTTTCAACACAGATGGTAGGTATAAAATAGCTGAGCTCTAACAGATCATGTCCGGGCAGAATGATAAATACGGTCTTTTTTGTTGACAGTCGAGCTGTTTTCACATTCCACTTGAATTAAATTGTGCTCATTCATGCCATGGTACCTGATCTCTGGCAGGGATTCTTATAAAAAATCATCGTGTAGATTCATTGCAAAACAAGTGAAAAAAAAAGTTGTAAAGTAGCACTCTAAGAAAAGACTAAAGTTGAACAGCCTATAAGAAACTATGACAAAAAGCCTCCATTTATTTTGAAAAAAAGATAAATATCTATTTAGATTAATATTTATTAATATGGATTCATATATATTATATATAAGTATATATATTAATATATTAAAATTCAGGGGCAGTGCAAATCCTTAATTTTCATAAACTGGTAAAAATATTTAAAGTTTCTAATATGAAAAAGAAATTATATGTCAGATATACTAGGTATGATCAAATATAACACTGGCCCTAACTTTAAAATGTTCACAATCAAGTTTGGTAAATAAGACATAAAGCCATGAAATTTTATATAAACGAGAAAAGTTAAATAGTAAAGTGAGAGATGATCACAGCAATGATGAAGCTTTATCCGAATTGGCTCTGGGTAGTAATTTTTGGGTCTTGAAAAGTGAATGAACTGTAGCTGGATAGGTAGGGAGGGCAGAAAATGGTTTGAGTCAAGAAAGAGAGTGGGAGTGAGCAAAATCTCATCAACCCAGTGCTTGCTGAATTTGACCTTTTAGACATGACCTAATCGTAGCGCTGGTAGCGATCCACAGGAACACACTCAACTTCACTGATTCACTACAAGGACTCACAGAACTCAGCAAAGCTGTTATGCTCAAGGTTGCCATTTATTACAGCAAAGGGATACAGAATAAAATCAGCAAAGGGAAGGAACGTAGGGTAGAGTCCAGCAGTGGCCAGGCATGTCTTCCAGTCATCCTCCCACAGTGGAGTTGGCCCATAATTCTCCCAGCAACTATTTGTGAAAACACACACCAAGTATTGCCACTCAAGGAAGCTTATCCAAGCTCGTCACCGTCCAGAATTTTTACTGAGGGCCATCACGTAGGTACGAAATTCTGCATGACTAACTTTATCTCTCATCTCCAGTGCCCCCAGGGGTCAAACTGATGCAACATGGCCCAGGGCTCCAGGCGAATAAAAACAGACGTTCACCATAAATCATATTGTTAGTATGATCTAACATAGCCCAAGACCCAAGATATACAAAGACACTTTTATCAGGCAGGATATTCCAGGGGATTAGAAGTGATCTCCCAGGAGCTGGGCAAGGGCCAGTTCTTTCTTTGGAATGTGTGGGTTTGAACACCCCAAACCCGCTGAGTTACTAAGCTTTTACTGCACAATAGGGAAAGAGTTTGTGTGACTGCAGGTCTTAAATTTTAAAATTTAACTAAAACAAATAAAAAGATCTGAAAAATACCTGCAAAAGATTTTACCCACACGTTGTGATGATGAAAAATACATATGTATGAGGAAAAGAAAAGCCAACTTCATAGAATAGCTACTGTCTCACCTTTGCGTGGGCATCCAGGTGTTCTGCCCAGTGCAGTGAGCCTCAGTGGCGTGATTTGTTGCCACGTGCAACCATAACAATATGATTACCTGAGGAGTAGGCCGTTACGCAGAACTCCGTAAATGCTTCTCCACTGCTCCAGCTAACAGTTCTATAGAAGAAAGTTTATGTTGTGAAGATTTTAGAATTAACTACTTACCGATCTTTTTCTTTTAATTTCTACCCCCACTCTGCACCCCATACTTTCTTTTCTGATCTGCAACGTGGCCTTCTCTGAAGATGTTCCAGTGGATTTGATCGCCATCGGCAGGACTGGGTGGACAGCGGATGCCCTGAAGAGGTACACGTGTGCTTTATTATGACAAGATTGTTGGGACCAAGCTGTCATGTGTTGTTGCTACAACTTAATGAAAATGGTATCTAATTTAATAAAAAGGGCCATCAGTTACTGAGCCCTTATATGTACCAGATGTTGGGCTTAACTCGACATGTATTATCTCAATTTATTCTCATACCCATCCTATGAGGTCAGAGCTGTTATTGCCTCCATAGGACCAAGAGGAGAAGAGGGAAGGGTGAGGCGAGATGTTGGGGAAGCGGGTGGAGAGAGAGTGTCTGGAATTAGGTGTGTGACTCAGCAATAGTAGAACCAGGACTTAAGTCTCTGTGAGCAAAGGGCAGTTCTCTTAAACATTTGCTGCTTTTTGAGATCTAGGAAGCCATTGTTCATCTTTTTCGCTCAAATAACAAAATCAATGAAACGGGGGGAAAGATTGATTGCAGCAAATTGGCATGATAGAAGAAGGTAGATGTGGTCTAACATGGAAACAGTTAAGTCCCAGGCAAACATGATGGAGACAATGATGCAAAGAAGTGATTCAAGCAAGTAAATAAAATTGCAGGATGGATTTTAACCTATTTACAATTTTTTAGTGAGTTGCATTTACACTGTCATTTCAGAGTCACATAAAAATATCCTATAAAATTCAGAAAGAAAAGTATTTGTTTCTACTCCCTTTGTTAAGTTTTAGGGTTTGAATTTTGAATAAAAACCATTAAAACTTCTATAACTGTTCTCATTGAGTAAAGCAAACCATGCCGAAGAGCTATTTTCAGAACCCTTAGGCAATCCTAGTTACTAGACCCTTTATTTTTAATTCAGTTTTTATTTATGATGCCTCATAACTATCTTGAAAAATACGTCTTTCAGGATATTCTTGAACATTAAGTACAGTATTGCCAACGCAGCTTTAATCAACTTTTTGACAGTTGTTTGGGGGGAATTACAGTGACAAATACTCATTTATCTATTTCATGTCACTTATTTCACAACAGTAGTTCAAAAAGAAAATAGATTGATAGAGTCATAGTTGTGTTTTCAGGTTGATGTTTCTTTCTTGTAATCACAGTTACCTCAGTTAAAAATGTTGAAATTGAACACCTGTGTAAAGATTAAGAGGGTGATTCATACGTCATCATTTTCTTGCTTTACTGTGGGCCCCCCATGAAACATAAGCTATAGAGAAGAATCCATCATATTCTAAGGCCTCCTAAAGATATTTGTGGGGAATTTAATCATGTTCTATGGCCTGTGCTAAGCACTAAACTTACAAAGAATTTTTTAAAAATTTACCCTCTCTTCCTAAGGAGCTCAGAATCTAGTACATTCTATAATAGTCAATGTTTCCTTTTTATTCTGTAAGTAAATCGTCAACATTACTTGCTTTATGGTGAGCAATTCTATCCTTCTGTTACAGGTAACTAAACATGGTCACCAAGTCCAGTCCATTTTCAGTGCCTAAAACCAGTGTTAAATTTTCCTTCTGATCTTGTGAAATGAATTTATTCAATAAGTGCAAATCCTAATATGAGCATTTATTATGTACTGCTCTAAGCACTGCTAATGTAAAAGTGTGAGAAATGTGTGTAGCAGGGGAGACAGACACTTAACAAAGGACAGCACTTAGAAAACCACTCAGTCAAAGAACTCTAAGTGCATGATCTTGTTAAGTAGGACTAGGGAACATTTGCTTGGGGAGATGATATTTAACATGACTTCTGAAGGGTAACTGAAGGTAAGAAGAGTGGTGAGAGATGAGACTGGTGAGGTAAACAGGGCCCTAAATGTAACATTGAAGGAGTTTGGGCCTTATCTTAAAGGCAAGAGAAAGCTATCTGGAGAGTTTTAATTAATGGGGTGACGTGATCCAAATGACTTTTTGGAAGAATGGATACATTGTATATTACACTGTCTTAATTACTATAGCTTCATAAGAAATATTGTTGTTTATAGAACAAACCTCCTTACTTTTTCATCTTCACAAGCGTTTTGACAACTCTGGCGCTTTTGTTCTTCATATAAATTTTAGACTCAACTTGCAAGATCTGTAATCAATCAATCAGTCAATCAATCTTGTCAGTACTCTTACTGAATTTACATTGGATTGTGAATTATATCACATTTCTGAATTATGGAAATTTTATTTTATTTTTTACTTTATTTTTAAAATTTTATTATTATTTTTTAATAGATCTTTATTGGAGTATAATTGCTTCACAATACTCTGTTAGTTTCTGTTGTACAACAAAGTGAATCAGCCATATGCATACATATATCTCCATATCCCCTCCCTCTTGAGCCTCACCGAGCTGATTCCCCTGGGCTATGCGGCTGCTTCCCACTAGCTATCTATTTTACATTTGGTAGTGTGTATATGTCCATGCCACTCTCTCACTTCGTCCCAGCTTCCCCCTCCCACCCCATGTCCTCAAGTCTATTCTCTATGTCTACGTCTTTATTCTTGCCCTGCCACTAGGTTCATCAGTACCATTTTTTTTTTTTTTTTTAGATTCCATATATATGCGTTAATGGTATTTGTTTTTCTCTTTCTGACTTACTCCAGTCTGTATGAAAGACTCTAGGTCTATCCACCTCACTACAAATAACTCAATTTTGTTTCTTACGGCTGAGTAATGTTCCATTGTATATATGTGCCACATCTTCTTTATCCATTCGTCTGTCAAAGGACACTTAGGTCACTTCCATGTCCTAGCTATTGTAAATAGTGCTGCAATGAACATTGTGGTACATGACTCTTTTTGAATTATGGTTTTCTCAGAGTATATGCCCAGTAGTGGGATGGCTGGGTCATATGGTAGTTCTATTTTTAGTTTTTTAAGGAACCTCCATACTGTTCTCCATAGTGACTGTATCAATTTACATTCCCACCAACAGTGCAGGAGGGTTCCCTTTTTACCACACCCTTACCAGCATTTATTGTTTCTAGATTTTTTGATAATGGCCATTCTGAGTTTTGATTTGCATTTCTCCAATAATTAGTGATGTTGAGCATCTTTTCATGTGCCTCTTGGCCATCTGTATGTCTTTTTGGTGAAATGTCTATTTAGGTCTTCTGCCCATTTTTTAATTGGATTGTTTGTTTTTTTGGTACTGAGCCCCATGAGTTGTTTGTATATTTTGGAGATTAATCCTTTGTCTGTTGTTTCATTTGCAAATATTTTCTCCCATTCTGAGGGTTGTCTTTTCATCTTGTTTATGGTTTCCTTTGCTGTGCAAAAGCTTTGAAGTTTCATTAGGTCCCATTTGTTTACTTTTGTTTTTATTTTCATTACTCTAGGAGGTGGGTCAGAAAAGATCTTGCTGTGGTTTATGTCAAAGAGTGTTTTTCCTATGTTTTCCTCTAAGAGCTTTATAGTGTCTGGTCTTACATTTAGGTCTTTAATCCATTTGGAGTTTATTTTTGTGTAAGGTGTTAGGGAGTGTTCTAATTTCATTCTTTTACATGTAGCTGTCCAGTTTTCCCAGCACCACTTATTGAAGAGGCTGTCTTTTCTCCATTTTAAATTTCACCTTTTTATTATTGATTTCTTACCTAATTGAATTGTCAGAGGTCACATTCTATATGATACTGATTCTTTAAAATTGGTTGGAACTTTTAATGGAATAGTGAATGAGTAATTTGTACAAATGATCTACATGTGCTCAATAAGGATGTGTGTCTTCTTACTGCTTGGGTATGAAGTTTGATAAATGGGTTCTAGGTATTTCCATCCTAAGCTTCTTTACCATAAACATCTTTGCCACAAGCATTTTTGCTGCATAAGTAATTGGCCATAAGACAATTTTGCTGTAAAAGATAAAACAACGAAAACTAAAAGAGAGACGTTAGAAAGGACATAATGAAACATGAAAAATGAATTACAAAATTAAAAAGACTTTATTGCAAAATACAAAATATCTGAATACATTTAACGTGCGTGTAGACTCATGACAATACTGTGCAAATAACTGACTTTATTCTGTGGGTTGTACCTAAGCACTTGCCTTCCAAGTCTTTTGTTCATCATATTACACTTTTTTTTGTTGTTTATTGATTTGTCTCCTTGTTCAGCATCCCAATGTTATTTTCACTAAAATTTCTTCCTTCTTTAAGAAAGGTATTAATTTCCAAATACTGGGATGCATGTTTATAACTGAGCTTTGTACTGTGTTGTGAAAGCCTCTGCACTGTTGTTTGTTCTTAGCATTTTGTCATATGTCCATTGACAGACATTACAAAGTTCTGTGGGAAACATGGTTTCACTTCTGTGCCTTCAAGGCCCTCGGCCTCTTTCTCCTCCCATGTAGTGTGTTTCAAAAGAAGAAACCAACTCTTGGGGCAGATCATCACCATCTGTCATGATTTTTGTATTGTGTATATCAAACCAAACCATCAGCCAATTATTTTATCTTTTATGGCAAAATTGCCTTACAGACAATTAGTTATGTGGCAAAAATATTTTCAGCAAAAATGCATGTGACAAAGATATTTACAGCAAAGAAGATTATGGTGACAATTCTGGACATGTGATAAATATACTCTTCAGTCAGACTGTCTTCATTCTCTTTATTTTTACCTTCTGAGCTCTTTGGAGGTAGGACCTTCTCATCATTTCCTTGTATCTTTTAACCTCTCCTTTATATCATCTATTTTCTTATTTCTCTATGCTGTATCCTGGGGGATTCCTTCAGATCTATTTGCCAGTTTATTAATTCTCTCTTCCTTTTGTTTAATCTGCTGTTGAACCTGTCCATTAAGGTAGTAATTTCACAAATATATTTTTCATTTCTAAAATTTAAATCTTTATTAAACCTGCCAAGTCACTTTTTTTTTTTTCTTTTGAGGTACGCGGGCCTCTCACTGTTGTGGCCTCTCCCATTGCAGAGCACAGGCTCTGGTCGCGCAGGCTGAGCGGCCATGGCTCACGGGCCCAGCCGCTCCGCGGCATGTGGGATCCTCCCAGACCGGGGCACAAACCCGTGTCCCCTGCATTGGCAGGCGGACTCTCAACCACAGCGCCACCAGGGAAGCCCCGCCAAGTCATTTTTATAGTCTGTGATACTAGTTCATTTTTAAATTTTTCTTTTCATTTCTTTAAATATTTCATATGTAGTTTTTATATATCCCATATTTGATGCCCCTACTATGTAAAACATTTTGCTAGTCTAATTATGTTGTTGTTTTTCCTGGCTCTTTGTCAGACTACTCTTTCTCTTTCTGTGTTTCTGGGTCCTTTCATTAGAAGTGCATTTGTTTGATCTCATTCCATGGGAATCCCTAGCATGTAAATAGGTGATGCTTTCACCAAAGTAGTTTTGATGATGGGAACCTGAGGGCCTCAGGGGACACCATGTGTTCCTGCCTTAATATGGGGATGAGAGGTTTGGATTTATCTCCCTCATCTCTTGCTGGTAGAAGGCTTGATCTCCTTAGAGCATAATTAATTTTTGACATTTTTACCCTCAGAGCAAACCGTGTGTTTTTACTTTGCCTAATGTATATTGTTCCTACTTTCTTTATAGCACACAGCTTTTGCTTTATTCTGTTTTGTGGGAGAGGCAAAAGAAAGGCCCCCTCAGAGATTTTCTTTACTTCCCGAAAATCCTAGTAATGCTTTAAAATTCGTGTTTTATCCAGAATCCACTTGTATTGTGACAGGAGGACCGTTTAAGGTCTGTAGTCTGCCTTTACTGCCATAAGCAAAACAAGTTCGGGATTTTAGCTTAAACATTACGGTGATTAATAATAATGTTTTTGAGAATAGAACCACAGGAGGAGAATAATGTGTGACAAGTTCCATCTTAGACTTACTGAGCCTGAGATGTCTGTGATATCCACATGCGTGTAAGCCAACAGATGAATATTTGGGCCTAAAATTCAAGAGAAGAATGCAGACTGAAGATAGAGATTTATGCATAATTAGCACAAAGATGTTCACTGAAATCATAGGCATGGAGGACATGGATAGTGACGGTGCATACAGAGCAAAGACAGGCCAGGAAAGATGCATAAAAACCACCAACACTTAAGGGGCAGAAAGAAATGGAGATGGACTTGTTAGACAGGTATCAGAAAACTGATGAGTGTGTGTCACAGAATCCAAGATTAGAAAGTGGACAGGCTGTGCCTAACGCTAATGAGATAGCAAGAGTGTACATGGAAGATTTAGTAGATAAGGAGATAGTTAAAAACATTGGTATGAGAGTTTCAATTAAGTTGGATTGGGTAAAAACAAGCTTGTGGGAGTCTGAGAAGCCCTAGGCTGATCAGTCTTTCTGGAATTCTGACTGAATGGAAGGAAAAGCAGGATGATGTTGGGGTGCACGTGGAGAAGAATGAAGACAGAGTTTTTAAAATAAGATTGGACATGCTTGAGTATGTTTAAGTGCTGCCGATAACAAGGCAGGAGGGAATTAGAGATGAAATATTGAAGAGCAAGGAGGGGGTCAGATGAGCAGGTTCACAATACCTGAGAAGGTGGGCTGAGCTGGGCCAGAGTAGAGATGAGAGAACAGCTGTATACCATAGACCCCATCCATCCTAACAGAAGGAGGAAGGGCAGGTCAGTTCAGGTTCAAGTAAGGATGGTGATTTGTAAATAAATTTAAAGAATTCTTGCTGATGACTCTTATCAAAGAAATAAAAAGTGAGCCCAAGGATAAAATTGGTAGAGGCATTATGGGATGGCAGTTCTAAGTAGAGTGGAGAGGGTTTGAAATTGATGCAGAGGATAATTTGAGAGGAGATTAGCGAAGCAGGGCAGTATTGCCAGGCAGCACAGAAGGCCCCCGCTGGGCATGCAGGAAGTAAGTTTGTGGAGCTCCCAGTGGGAGGCTATAGGATTATTCTCCAGCTCAGGCATGGAAAAGGCAGCGTTTTTACTATATTCAGTACTGCAGATTTTCTAAGAAGGTGTTGTGGAAAAAAAAAAAAGGGCAACATGCTTAAAGGTATTGAAAAGAGAGGTTGAAGTGATGGAAAAAAGGAGACTAATGGGAGAAAATCATTGTGCTTGGGCTTTCTACATAATCACAGGATAAGACGTATGTGAGTGAACAGCTACATGGATAGACTGAAAATAGGATAACTGAATTTATGATTTCAGAACTAAAGCATTCCCAAGCACAGAGAAGGTCCAGGGTACGGGGATGATAACTAAAGTGGAGTCAAGCAGGAGATCATGAGATCACTGAGCTGAGAAGATGCAGGAACTAAAGTTTGGGGAATTGAATGGGTCGCTAGGATGTTGAAGGAGGGAATAAGCTGTATCATATTTACTAAGTGACAAGGAAGCCATCTTGGGAGCATTTCCTGAGCCAGCAGTATGGTGAATTCACTAATGACACTAATGACTTCACTAATGACAAGAGAAGTTTAAGAAAGGTATTTATTCAATAATAATTTTCAGATGTGGGTAAGTACCATCCATGTACAGAATAGCTATCTTCTACTCAAGGCCCACCAGAGGGATGGAGTCCTTTGAAGCACAAAGAGGTAGGGAGAAACGCCAACTTCTAAACCATGAAAGTTTGCATGTTGGAGATTGTTACTGGTAAATGTCATATTATTTATTCTTGTGGGCTATAAATGAACAATACAATACGCACCTTTTCCTCATGTAGCTCTGCTAAGGAGAAGATAGACTAAGTGATTACCTGAGTGCTGTTCAATCCTTTGCTTGAGTGGTTTTGAATATTTCATAAAGGAAAACAAAATTTTAATTTTAAATATCCATTCATCCTGTGGTGGATTATTTTTCAAACAATAAAGTTGTATGGAGCAGTTACCACATTTTTAAAATTTAGCATTACCAATTTCATGTGAATGGAACACATTCTCTCTTCACACACGTAAGCATGTTTTAAACCTTATCTTTATGTGAATGTTTTTCTTCTAGTGTGAACGTTTCCCATCATGTCTTTTATAAATATACTGATATAAAATTTAGGTTAAGATAAACAGTAATCTGAAAGGTTAACCACAGAAATGATGGAATCCAAATATCTAAAGATGGAAATGCTTTCTAACATTCAATTGTTTTCTCTTGTCTATTTTATATACTTTATACGTTAGTAAAATCTATAACTATAGTCCTGTACAAAAATAATGCATTCCTCATCTTTATTTGAGAGGCTTTTGTGCTTTACAGCCCAACTTCTTTGACATAATTTTAAAACATATGTATGATCACTCAAATTGTCTTCCCCTTTGTTTCTCTTATCAGTCAAAAGAGAAGCTCTGTGACACCACAGAGCCAGTGGAACGTTCTACTCAAACCACCACCATACGAGCAACAAGCACACAATTCAGGGTCCTGACGACCACCAGAAGAGCAGCGACACCCCGGCTGCCCACCAGCCTGCCCACAGAAGGTGCCCTGGAGATACTTTTGCTTTATTACTGAAGGAGGGAGAACTCACTGTGTTGACATGCACTGGAGAAGCTCTCCGGGGAGAAAGTTATTCTTTAGCAAACTGGATTTCGTAGGGATGTCTGAAAGGGAAAAGACAAGATTATTATGGAATAAAAATATGTGCCGGGTTTTTGTTAATGTATGGATGCCTTTTATTGAGATTTAGTCTTTCAGAGTGATCCTGGCTACTAGTCCTCCTTAGAAAAGAAATAAAGACTTCCTTTCATATTGCTAAACTTTGTAATAACGGCAATCAACGTTTTAGTCACAGGATAGAAAGGCAAAATGCACAGGAAATGTCCATTGATTTTGGATTCTGAACAGTAGGTAATCCTACTTATATGCAATTCTATTAATATTTGCCTGGATACAGTCAATAAAATATGCTGGTCTATAACCTGTAGAGAGGCACTGTGTATGACACAGAAATTGTACTTGAAAAACATTTCCTTTACCAGGAAAGGCAAAAATACTAAAGAACATTAATTCATGAGCACAACTCATTGGGGGAAGAAGGTATATTAGCCTACATTTGTTAACCATCGATTCTGAAAGGTACCGCTAGGGAGAAATGTGAGACCACTTGGCCAAGAGTAAGCTTTAAGGGGGAAAACATGGTCTTATTTGTTTACTTTCATAAACCTTGCTTTCATTTAAATAAGATATTAAATTAAACTTGAGTCTTTTCACTGAAATTTAATTGGATATTAAAAGTTAACTGGAATAAAGTGATAAAGTGAGGTGGAGGATAGCTAGCTGCTAAATATATTTTATTGCTTTTAAAACCAATGTTATATTTTAATCCATCTTATTGTGAGTTGTTATATAGCCCGAGAAAAGTATTTTTGTAATTTGAATCCTGTCCTTTAGAATGAAATATACCACTGAAATATAAAAAAGCACATTCTACATTTTGTTCACATAGGACAAGATCTTTTCGTATATGATTTTGGTCATATTTGTTAGCAATAAGTAAGCATTTAACTTTTGAAGTTGAATTTGTAAATACAGACGAATATTTACTATTCCAATTAACTCGGAATTTTCTTGATCTTGATTTTTAAAATAAATAAAGACTGTAGAGTCTAATTACAATAAGTCATTTTAGAAAATTAAAATAAATGTATTTTAAGTTAAAATTATAACAGTGTACTCTTCTCACAGCTCTTAAGAGTCATATAATAATTTGCTGAAGTCTCCACCTTGCAATTTCAGTAAGAAAGTTTAGTATTACATCATATAACCTAAGACCTGCTCTCACTGCCCTAGAAATTTACTCAGTAAAATATCAGGAGCTAGTCCTGTTATAGTTAAGGCATTAGTAGACAATTACTGGTCTTAAGATTTGTGCACCGTAAAATTTTTTCTGTTATAACTTTGACTTTTCTCTTCCAGATGATACCAAGATAGCTCTACATCTAAAAGATAATGGAGGTAGGAACTGATATTTTTCTTTTATAAAAATGTTTAGATACTAATCTATTTCATCTATTTAAATATGGAAGGGACTTGTGGACTTCTAAATATAGAGTAAGGTTATATTTCTTTCCCTGTTGGTATGTAACATAGGAAGAATTCAGCGGTTGCCTTGAAAAGTCAAATTGTTTCAATAGTGGAATGAAATTCTAATCTTTGTATTTGCCTGTAAAACTACAAGACACCAATGACCAATTATAAAGTGAAAATTTATCCGCACGTCTTGCTATGCCTTGTTGCTGTAGTCCTAGGTTTATTAGTTGCACATGTGACTATCAAGGCTTTGAAAGATATTGACTAAAAACTTAAAAATAGTTCTTTTCCTATTAAATTATGTTAGTTCATGTTTATATGTGCGGCTTTATCATAGAATGCTGGATTTCATAAAAGAGATGTGTTATTAGTAATTGTTTATTCAGCTCAGGAAGGGGATTTCCTCTTCTTAGCAGCATCTCTTACGTAAACGTGGGTACACTGTGACACTGACCTAGACACAATTTCACTTTTGCAGCCCCAGATGAAATCCTAAGTCAGAATCCAACATATACATTGCTAGGGATGTTTTTCTCTGTAACTGTAGAGAATAGTTCCTAAATTACTCAGTCTAGGTCAAGTAACAATTACTTCTGTGTTTTCTTAGGTTACTATATATGTATATCTATATCTTTAGATCAGTCCACTTAAAAGAGAAGCTGCTTAGCCTCTTCATGTATATCATTATTACATCGTTTGTCCCTTGTCTTGCTTCTGTAGCAAAGTGTTTTATTTCATTAATTTCTTATTCATTATTGTATTAATGCAGTAAGTGGATAGCTTCACAGATGACCGTTTGCCACATATACACGCTAGAAATAAAATCTTGGTGCTTGAAGGGACTTTAGCAATCCCCTAGTTCAAAATTTCTCAGAGCAGGACGTTAGTGAACCTAAGTCCTCATGTCGGGGTTACCTCATTTTGAGAGAGGGTATATAGTATGAGATGAATGAAATGGAGGAGGGGTACCCAGAGGCTTCTGTTGTATTTGTTACATTTAATTCTTAACATGGGTAGTGGTTACATGTGTGTTTGTTATATTATTCTCCTGCTGTCTTTTCTTTTTTTTTCTTTAATATGACTAAAATATTCCATAATGCTAACAGAAAGAACAAAGGATTCATGTGATCAAATAGGTATGAGATACTCTGGGTGAAAAGAAAATGAAAGAGATTTATTTTCTGGAAAACTGTTTAAAACTTTTACTGTTCGTTCGTGAATTCATTCATTTATTCCTGCCTAGTGCCTGCTAATTGCAAGGGATTGTTACATGCTGGCTGCTATGGTGGTGAAAAAGGTTTAGACAAATTCCCTGCTTTCAGAGAGCATAGATTCTAAAGAAATTTCAAGATGGTAATAAAGATTTAGTACCTGGCATTTCTCTGCTATTTGGTCATAAAAGCTTTTTACAAATAGCGTCTCAATGACTTAATGTTTTGTGGAATACATTTTGCAAAATAGTTTTCTAGAATATTACCAGCTATCCCAAGGAAAATTCCTAGTTTTGTTTAATGCAGCAAGGAATCATAAAACTTTGAAGATTTTCTTAATGCAATACATTAAAACTATCTTATGATGCTGAGACATCAAGTTAAGTAAATTCCAAGATTGAAATGGAGGACGTTTCCTCTTTTCGGTCATACTAGAAAAGTTGACTGTTGGATTTTCAGGTGATATTTAGATCATTAATATGCAGCAGGTACCCATCAGAATTCCAAACTATCACAATAAGACTTAAACATGTCTATACATTGGAACTCTTTTCACAGCTAGGTTTGTTTATAAAGCACTTTTCCTAAAAGTGCAGTTAGAGCAGACCAACCTGACCAGTGTTAAGACAAATGTTCCTGTCGAAGAGTACTTAAGGGATATCACACATTACTTTTTACAGCAACTTTATTAAGATAACCTGCTGTCATTGCTTTTTGTTTTACGGAGTACGGAGATGCAGGAAGGATTTTGCCAATTTAAATCCAACTTTGTTCGTTAATTAAAACGAAAACAGAATTCAGCATCATTCTCCTTCTCCCCCCTCCAGCTTAACGTTTTTGCAAGACTGAGGTGATAATGAAAAAGGATGCCTAATTTAAATGTTTTCTCACATTTATTGAGAATGTTTTTCAGTGCAAGCTAAGACATTTTTATAAATTGCTATGTATTATTGCAAAGAAACTCAGCACACTTTCTTTCTCGATTTAATTGGCTGTTTGTTCTTAAAACCATTTTAATTTAGAGGTCTGTATTTTCTAGAAAAGAGGGTGACATTTTTCAAAGCAGTCAATGTGTAGCTAGACACTGCCTTTACATACATCATCTTCTTTAGATATTGGATCACCTTGGCTCTGAGTCTTCCTGGGATATTTCTTTGAGTTAAAGTAGTTGATTTTCTTAGTGGAATCCATAGCTGACACGATTATATATTCACTTTCCAGGAGATTTTCCTTCAGCTTTGATATGAAAACATAAAATGCTTCTGTGCAGCTGGACACCAAAGGAACACGACAGGGATTCTCATTCACAGGACGCAAACTGAGCTCCAGTCTGCTAAATCACTCTTGATAAATCTCAGTTATGCATTGTGTTTCCTGCTACATTTAGATTAGGTCTAGGTAGAGCCTCTGCACATTTCAAGCTAGTCGTTTGATTGGAGAAGTTTTATTAGCCTTCAGGGTTGAGTGAAAATTCTAGGCTCTGTAGATAGTTTGGAGAAAAGAAACTGAAAAAATCTTTAAAAAGAGAATGATTCCTAAGGAGTGCAAGTCCCCTTAGTAAGATATGGCATTGATTTACCATGGTAAATGGCTGAATACAAAAACTCCGCAGAACAAGTATAAAGATAGCATTTTATCTCCAACTGAAATATTCCTACTCGCATGTTTATAATATTAAGTTTCGAGTAATACAGATGTCTAATTAAGTATCATTTCTGCTCCCTTATTTATGTGAAGGACTGGAGAGGAGGAGGAGGAAGTAGGAGGAAGAAATGAAGGAGGAGAAGGAGGGGGGGAGGAGGGGGGAAGAAAAGAGAAAAGAAGATGAAAGACACACTTTCCTATGTTCCAAGCACAGTTCCAAATGCTGTACGTATATTAACTCATTTAATTCACACAATACCCCTGTAATTGGTCCTGTTTGTATTTCCATTTTATAGCTGAGGAAACGAAGGTACAGAAAAGTAAGTTTACCTGGCTAGTACGTGGCAGAGCTGGGATGTGAATTTATTTAGTCTGGATGTGGATCCCAGGTCCTCAGCGGCCTCACAGCATGGCTGCTCCCTTGCAGTTGAGGCCTCTTAGAAGCTTCACAGGGGAGATGCCGCTGTAAGGAGTTTTACTCACACCTACTATAACTGATTATACTTAGAAGTATTTGGAAATGAAATTTCCTCTTCCCGTGTAATTATGCATTAGTTTCCATTTTAACCTTTCTTTGAAAAACAGTGCATTCATTCTCCTGTGTCATTGAGTCGTGTCTGAAGCACTGGCATGTGTTCTGCAAACTACAGGGCTACTCTGTGTTTATGATCAAAAACTAAATTCTTTCAACCTTCTAGGTTTCTCGAGAAATTCAGGTTTAATTCTCCATTAAGGGGTTCCTAGAAAGTATTCTTTAAATATATGTATTTCTGTGGATAATGGTTATAAGCACTTAAAACTACACCTTCCTTGTGTTTTCAAATTCTGGCAAAAGCTTTTTTAAGAGTCGCATTTTTAAGGAATTACCTAGCTATGTATTTTAGCGGTACAGCTATTGAATGCCTTCTTTGGCATTTAATTAGTTGCTTCCAAATGACACTCACCAACTAAATAGAAATGTAAATGTCTTCAAGATGCAAACTGGTTAAAATTATATTTAGGGCTGGCTGAAAAAGGTTTGCAAGTTGAATCAATGGCAAAGACTTTTAATTGAGAAGTGAAATCTTCAACCAGATTCAGCTCAATTTAGCAAATTGAGTTGTACCATTCTGCTACACTGCAGACGTTAAAATTATTTCAAGCTCTAAAATCCTGTGATTGATTTTATTATTTAAAATTTGTTGACTGAGATGTATCAGAGTACCAAAAACTGCATTCTCTCTTGGTTCCTCTGAAGGTTCTTTCCTTTGATAAAATTAAGTTTCTTTTAAAAATATATTCGAATGTAAGTTCTTAATTGCTAATGATATTTAAAGTATTGACACTCCAGACAGCATTGTTTTGTCATGCAGGTGGCACTTTGTTTGTCATTTCTTCTTGTTGCTAGGAAGTCTACTAAACTTGGATTCTGAAAGGCTGCATGCTTGAGTTGGAAGTTGGGGTTTTCATCGAAGGGATGCTGAAATAACTACGTTAAGCAGTTTGCAGAACATGATTAAGTTAATTCTGGGGTACAAATCTGCAAAGTGATTGATTTCCAAGAGCTAATACAGAAATACTTTGAATGAACTACAGAATGACTGGCCTAAATTCTGATTCTGTTGTATTCAGTTTTCTATTTCTGGACATATAAGACTTTTCATCCAAAGATAAAATGTTAGAACATTATTCTGACTTATTCACTAGACTACCTCTAAGTTTGTATTTTTTTACCTAGTCTTTAGCAACTGATCAAGTGTCTAGTGTTTCATTTATCATTCAGTCAAATTATTTTTTGACTTTAATACATAAATCATTAAAGTAACATATCTTTCACTTGTTTCCCTACCTTCCCTTGCTATTTTTTTTTTCATCTACTTCTTTCCCATAGATCACAGTCTTGTAAGCAAAGGGAAACTGTTATTACCTTTTGACAGACTATTGAATATCTATCATTTTCTGTTTCTAAAACTGTAAAGCATCTTGGCATTTGGTTTTATCCTTTGCTCTGTTTGGCTACTTTTCATGATAGCACTAACTCTGTAATAAAGTGTATATGTGCCATAATAGTGAAATTTTCTTATATTTCAG